GCCCGCACCGAGCAGCCCTCTCGTCGAGGTGAACGGCTGAAAGGTGCACAACGGCTCCATCCAGGACGAAGCCGAGAATTCATTAAGTTTAAAGGCCTCTTTTTGATCTCCCAAATCCTATAAGTGAGAATTTTAGAAACCAGTACTTGAAGGAGGGGCCTAAAGGGGAGAAGGAGGAAGCTCTGGAACATGGAGCGGCTTTGATCCCAGGGCTTTTTAATAATCGCCACGCCGGGCTCGTCCGGACGACGGTGCGGGGGGAACAGCGCCCAACAGCCCGACCGATGGTCGGGGTTTGCATGCATCGAGAGCATCATTGATGTGCCATTTTTCAGAGTGGTCTATAGACATCATTCTTGCTGGCGTGAAATCGTCAGCACAGATAACGTCCACTAGGAAACCTGAAGGTGTAAAATAAATTACCGGAGATCAACATTCCTGACAAATGAACCTTCTCCCTCTGAGGATGGGGGCTGCTCCAGGGTAAAGTGGGAGATGACGTTTTATAAATGCGCAACTTGGGTGAAAATGAGTGACTCTGCAGGCTGCACAACCATGGGCGACTTACTGATCTTTCTCAACATCAGCTTCCCCATCTGCATCAGAGATGCTCCACCCACCTCACCTGACATCCCCGAGAACCAGATTTTTTAATGCATTAAAAACCTCAGCACGAAGCAAATGACCCTCTAATTCAGAAAGAGCGAAACACAGGACAGACATTCACGCTGACGTCTCCACCTCACAACCCCGCATCTGCCTTCATTTAGATCTAGCACACATAATAAGAAACCGGAAATAGTTTACAGTTTTCCCAGACCTTACTCAAAGGATGAAGATTCCAGCTTTTTCCAAGCAGAGAATCCCTTCATCGCCCCTGGATCCTGAAGTGCAGAAGTTAACTCTACCAGGGTTACAGCTGTTTTGCTTACCATTAGTACATCATGCTCATTACTACTGATAACATCTTGTCTTGGTTACAGTCTATAGATACCGCAGATACCTATCTATCCATCTACCTACTTAAGTTTACTTAAACACTTCCTAAATTATTCAATTTTCAAGCTTGAAACCAACCTTAGGAATAATCGAGTACAAAGGCTGGCAAATCACGGCCCATGGGCCAAATGGGGCACCAAACTTGTTTTCATAAATAAAGTTTTATTGGAACAAAGCCATGCAATGGTTTGTGTGTTGGCTACAGCGGCACGCTCTGTACAACTGAAGTGGGTAGCTGTAACAGAGCGCAAACTATTTACTATCTAAGCCTTTACAAGTTTTCCACGCCCTCCCCTGGGCGAGAACTGAGGCCAGGAAAGGATCGGCCTGTTAAGGCGCCGCAGCAGTGTCCCCACGTGGTCATGGCCAGTATGAGGGTCTGGGGCACCTCTTCTTACTCTCCTCCAACGAAGGGGCCCCGGATAACTCCCCAGGGGGTGAGAACGGCACCGAAGCTAGCAGAGCCCTTCTGCCGTGACCGCAGTCTCCTCTTAAATACAAACAAGTAGCAACACCCCTAACCTGGGGGCCGGGTTGTAAATCTCTGGGAAGCAAGCGGGAGAAAAGCAGGAGAGGCAATGACAAGCCTCCCACGCGAGTCATCTCAAGCTCTGGGTGTGCAGTCCTGCACCCACTCCACTTACAGTAATGCCAGATTCAGCCCTCCCAACCTCAGCCCCAGGACAGCCGCCGTCCCCATCCTGATGGCCACCTGAAATAAACAGCGGAACAGCTGCCACCTCGGGCAAGATGGGAAGAGGGAGAGCAAAGAGGCCTGACGGGGAGGGAAAACCGTAAAGGCGGCGGCAAACTCTGAACGGAGGCTGCAGAGGGGCGGGAGGTTCTGGACTGGGAGGAAGGAGGGCGTGCATTCTGGCTGTTACACTGCCTGGTTCAGCTGGGTGACCTTTGCTGAGACTTCACCCCCCTGACCTGTGCTATCCACCCCTGCAAATGGGCTGCTGGGGACACCCGAATCCGCTGTGCGGAAGCAAGGAGGCCATGCAGGCCCAGGTTCCTGGCACAGCCCCTGGGCACCCAGAGGGGCCACCATCCTTGCCTCTGCTGGGCACCCTCCCTGCCCTAAGTCTATCTCACAGTCGGTAAGCAGTTGAAACAGGGCCTAAAGTTTGGGTTCTGCTATTAGACAAGCCTAGAGGGGAAGTCTGTGACCTTTCAGGAGGCTGTGACCTTGAGTCAAAGATACAGTGCCACCAAGACTCTATTTATGGGCAGCCCCCCCCCCCACCAGCACCCCAGAGAAGAATTAAGTGAGATAATGTAAGTCAGTGGCCTAGCCCATGGAAGAAAGAAAGTGGAAGTTCTAGTCGCTCAGTCATGTCCAACTCTTTGCAGACCCATGGACTACAGCCGGCCAGGCTCCTCCGTCTATGGAATTCTTTAAGCAAGCATACTAGAGTGGGTTGCCATTCCCTTCTCCAGGGGATCTTCCCGACCCAGGGATCAAACCTGGGTCTCTTGCATTACAGACAGATTCTTTACCGTCTAAGCCACAAGGGAAGCCAGACCTGGCCCATATCCAACACTTACCACGCTCTCACTAAATTATTCACTGAATTACACCTTCCTGATGCGCAGTTAACCAACTGGAGAGAGCCCCAGACGAGCTGACACAGTGCGGAGTGTGCACAGGCGAGTGAGTAAACCTTGCACAAGTGTGTGCGTGTGCTTTCTGCGTCTCCCTCAATCAGTCTGTCAGTTCACTGTTATTCCTCTCACAGGCGCAGGGCTCACTCGCGGCCCTTGAGACCCAGCAGCAGGGTCTCCCCTTCGGGGATCCTTCTGGAGTCAAGTGAATTACGCCAGAATCCTGAGAGGCAGTGGGCCCTGCCACACCAGCCATCAGCCAAGCAAGGAACAAGCTTCTCTGAACAGACTCGGCTAACCCGCAGAGCACAGAGACACACCAGGCTACCAACACATGAGCGTACACAGTGTGAGGGCTGGGATACGTTCAAAGGCCTCCTTAGTCCTTCAATGAAACACTTGGTAGGGTTACGCATCCTGCTGGAATCCGCAGATATTACTGCAAAATTAACTGAGCAGCTTCAGACCTGGTGAGTGCCAAGTCAGGGAAGACAGTCTGTGGCCGTCTACAGACAAGAGGACACGGTTCCCAGGGAAGGGATGGCCGCTGCTGCGGGTTCACCGCTCCCCGCCACCAGCCCACGGGCTGAGTCACAGCGCTAAGTGCTAATGAAGGACAACGGACAGACAGAGCGAGAGAGAGAGGGGAGAGAGAGGGAGAGGCCAGCGCCGGGCATGTGTGGAGATGTGGCAAGTACGAGCCTGTTAGGGATATTCTAACAGCCCATCTGGGCAGCATCAACTTTCCTGACACCCGCAAATTGGCCTGTGAGATTGCAAGGCAGGTTACGGCTCGAAAAAGAAATCCCACTTCGTGTTTGCAAACACTACCCCCCAGCCTGGTTTTAAAGGCGGAAACGGTAGCAACGAGGGCCAGCACTCCAGAGCCTTCCATCATGCAAGCTGTGTTTTGTCTCGTTAAATTATTTCCAATCTCTCTCCTTGGGCAGGGTGGGGCTGGGGGATGGACCCATCCCCCTTGGCGCTCTAAACCAGTCCTGAAGAGCAGCGAGATAATGGGCATCAGCACACTCAGATATTCTTTACACCCGCCAGAATGAATCAGCCCCCAACTGGCAAGGCCAGCCAGTACCGTGGGGAAGGAGCCTTTCATAACCGACCCGGAAGGGCAGCGGAGTGCCACTCGGAAAGCAAGGCTGGGAGGGAGGAGGCTGCGGAGACCGACGAACGCCAGAAAGAGGAAGCAGGCTAACCAGGCATCAAAGCCCGCCTCCCCAGGAGGAGCCCACAACAGGCCTCTCCCGGAGATGGGCCCCCAGCTGGCCACCGCTGCGGGCAAACGAATGAAAGCACGGAACTTGCAGGCCGGCGGGTGGGCAGCCATGCCGCCTTTCTGCGCCCAGGGCACGCATGACGGGTGTGCCGAGTGACGGAGCTTAGGACGTGACTTCCAGGACCCTGGGCAGGCGGCCCTCTTGCACACCCGCCCCGCGGCGGGGCGGGGGCACACGACACAGGCCTGTGCAGAAGCAGCCCGTCCCCGCCTGTGGTCCAGGACCAGCTCCACAGCTGCTCAGACACAGAGGCGGCGGGCCTGCGCGCCACTCACCTCCCAGCCTCCTGGGACGCACGAGCCCGCGGGGGGCGCCGCACGACAGCCAGCAAGGCTCGGCACCCCCAAGCTGCCCTGTGGGGGCCCGGGGGAAACAGTCCCCCAAGGAACGGGCCCCCCTCAGGAAGAAGCCACCCTCCAAGGCTGTGGGGCCTCCCCGCCAAGCAGAAACGGGCTGAATGAATCACCCACGGTGACGCACCCTGTCTGTCTGTCTGTCTGTCTATCTGACTGACTGACTCTCACACGCACTCTCACGCTCGGTTTCCTGACTCCTCTGGGGCCTCCTGAGTCGCTCCCGGCCCAATCCCCCGGCAGAGCCCAGGGAATGAGCGCACTGCTGTCTCCTGGGCATCCTGACAGGTTCGCGCCCAGCATCTTCCCTGGGTTTCCTCAGGCATTTGACAGGGGAGGGGGGCTCAGCCCCCAGGGAGCCTCCTCTCTCAGTGCGTCTTCCAGAAAGGCCCAGCGCAGACGCAGAGACCAGCTTCTGTGGGAGCTCCTGCCCTGCGACCCCCAGCTCAAAGTCCCTTCCCAAGCCGGCGCTGCTCCCGTCAGCTCCCGGCCCAGGCCCCACACGACCAGCCAAGGCCGGCGAAACCGCACTCAAAGGCCGCTCTGTCTGTTCCTGACGGCACACAGGGCTCCATGCCCACCACAAGCCGGGCTCTTCCATCTCGGCTCCTGCCGAATCCCATTCCCATCTCGACAGCCAAGTCCAAGGACGAGGCTCTGGAGGACACGGTCGTGGCAAAGGCAGGGGCCACAGCAGCCACTTCGAAGGACAGAGGAGGCTGCCCCAGCCCCACGCGCCACTCACCTTGCCGAACTGCTCGAAATACTGCTTCACGTCTTCCACCACAGTGTTCGCAGATAGTCCTCCTACAAAGATTTTCTTTGTTCTTGTGACCATCTGCAAGAAATAAAAAGAGGAAGACATGGGTTAACTTGGCTATCTGAAGCCACGCTCACTGAGCTATTGGACAAGCCTCTCTGCATACTTCTCCAGAGAGGAAGGCGAGGTGAGGACTATCTCAGTCACTCAGAGCAGGCCCTTCAGATGTCTCAGGATGCCAAAGACAGTCACGAGGAATACCTTAGGCCTTCAGGCCGCAACCTGAAAGCTGGCATTTCATGCAGATGGAGAGTGAACTTCAAAGCCTCACTGGCCATAACACACAGCTTCATTGTGATGTGAGATCACACGTCAGAGCTATTTTAAACTGAAGAGACGTGAACAAAGGAGAACTATGTGCATGAAGACACGCTGCCCAGAAAGTACCCATAGAATGTGTCAATAAGAAACTCACATGTAATTCAAAACTCTGTGCAGACTGCCTGCCCAGAGCCATTCCGGGTGCTGGCTGGTGTCTGCTAACGGCACAGGCGCTGGGAGGGATGGCCCCCCGAGCCCGCCCCCAGGGTTCCTGTCCTTCTGGATTTCTCACCTTCCACCTTGACCTGTCCTACACCCAGCCAAGCCCAGCTGGTCCCCAGGCCTCCCCACCTCTGTCCACGCAGGTTCTCCTTGGGAGGCCTCTCCACGCCTGTACCTCCCATGCCAAGCTGACTACTCTCGAGATCCAACACTCTTCTCCAAAATGCCAACACCGATCTGGCCGCCCCACCCAAAGCTGCGTCTCTCACTTCTGAGCCCCCTAACGCTCACACACTCGCTACTTTCCACTCAGTGCTAAAGTGAGTGATAATCCTGCCCTCCTTCCCCCCCCCCCACCGAGACTGTCTCCCTGCAGTGCAAATACAGGGCGAGGCACATAGACACCCACACCCAACGTTTGGTGGATACAAAAACAAATGAACTTCTGAAATGGTCCCCCTTCAAAGTCTCACCAGCCCCAAAGCAAAAGGAGGCGGAAGTTCAGTGATGTCAGCTCTTCAGAGCAGGACCAAAAATCTTACATGGTAGAGTGAAAGACAACAAGATGAATTTTATTCTGAAAACTAAGGCTACGTGGGTTTGGGGGTTGTTTTGTTTCTCTTTAATGTCAAAATAAAAAAATGTAAAACTCAGTGGACACAGGATCTCCCCAGTCTAGTCACGCACAATAAAAACACAACATCTTAAGTCAATGAGTAGATTCTTGTCACAACACACACACACACACACACACACACACATCAAATCATCACGTTGGAGGGCTTCCCTGGGGGCTCAGTGGTAAAGAATCTGCTTGCCAATGCAGGAGACACAGGTTCAATCCCTGATCCAGGAAGATCCCACGTGCTGCAAAGCGACTAAGCCTGTGCGCCACAATGACTGAACCTGCGCTCTAGAGCCCGGGGCTCGCAACTTCTGCAGCCCAAGTGTCCTGGAGGTGTGCTCTCCAACAAGAGAAGCCTCCACAGTGAGAAGCCCGAGCGCCACAGCTACATGGGAGGCCCTGCTCTCTGCAACTAGAGCCAAGCCTGCGCAACAATGGAGACCCGCCACAGTCAAACATTAAATAACAAGATGAAAGCATTTTTCAAAAATCGTCACATTGTACACTTTAAGTATCTCACCATTTTATTTGTCAATTACACCTCCATCAAACAGGGGAGAAAAATATTTGATGAGAACATACAAAGAAAACCAAGATTGAAACCCAAAACCAAATCAATGAGAGGAATCTGAGAACATTAAAAGAAAAGCCACCCACCACGTCACACATGTCTTTGAAAAGTCCATGCAGGATGCCGAAGTCTGGGGGGCAGAGCTGCCTGGACCCCTTATCACCTAGTCTGCCCCCGCACATATACGTCTGCGGAAACAACGAACCAACAACCCAGCCCAACAGTCACTCAGTGGAGCGATGCCTGAGAGCACAGCCGTCAAGACAGACCGTACTAAGGAGTGTGAAAGGCGCTGGGGAGCCAGCTTCTGTGTTCCAGTCTGAGTGTGACCCCAGGCAGTACCCCCCCCCAGGCTGGGTTCTGGGTGCTGCATGGCGGTCCTCTACCAGACCTCCCAGCTAACCCTGAGCCCTCCTGAGTCTACAGGCCCGGCGGCCCCGACGGGGAGGCTCCCTGACCCCGGGCCCTCACACTTCAGCTCAGTGGCTCCCAGACAGGACCCAGGCCACCGGAGGCCGCGGACCGAGCCCGACCCGGAACACCGCCGTAGCGGGTGTGTCTTCCACTGTCTTGGGGACACGTGGCCTGATGACTCTCGTCTGTCTCTCTGCTGGGAACCGCCAGGCAGTGGTTAGCACGTGTGTTTAAAATTGTCCTTTACTATTTTTTTCATCTTTTCCAGATGAACAAGATTTTATATACTGTACATCAGGACATTCTATGAAGATCCCACCAGTGTCCACAGCACTGAGCTCCTATGGCCAATGAGCAGGCACCTTATCTAGCTCCTTGTTCATTTCCTCCCTTGTCTCCCTGCTTATCCATCAGTCTCCCTGGGGGGTCAAGGTCACCTTCACAGTGAAGCTCCACCAGACCCTCACCTCATTTAAATCTCTCCCTACACTCACTAATCGCCAAATTTTACTAACCTAACTCTCCTAATTTCCGTGTTACTCCAGGTGTTTCCTCACTTCCTACTTTTGCATTCCAGTCCCCTATAATGAAAAGGACAGCTTTTTTGGGTGTTAGTTCTAAAAGGTCCTGTAGGTCTTCATAGAACCGTTCAACTTCACCTTCTTCAGCGTTACTGGTTGGGGCATAGGCCTGGATTACCGTGATACTGAATGGTTTCCTTTGGAAACGAACAGAGATCATTCTGTCGTTTTTGAGGTTGCATCCAAGTACTGCATTTTGGACTCTTTTGTTGACCATGATGGCAACTCCATTTCTTCTAAGGGATTCCTGCCCACAGTAGTAGATATAATGGTCATCTGAGTTAAATTCACCCATGCCAGTCCATTTTAGTTCACTGATTCCTAAAATGTTGACATTCACTCTTGCCATCTCCTGTTTGACCACTTCCAATTTGCCTTGATTCACGGACCTAACATTCCAGGTTCCTATGCAATAGGGCTCTTTACAGCACCAGACCTTGCTTCTATCACCAGTCACATCCACAACTGGGTATTATTTTTGCGTGGGCTCCATCCCTTCATTCTTTGTGGAGTTATTTCTCCACTGACCTCCAGTAGCATATTAGGCACCTACCAACCTAGGGAGTTCCTCTTTCAGTATCCTATCATTTTGCCTTTTCATACTGTTCATGGGGTTCTCAAGGCAAGAATACTGAAGTGGTTTGCCATTCCCTTATCCAGTGGACCACATTCTGTCAGACCTCTCCACAGTGACCCGTCTGTCTTGGGTGGCCCCACACAGCATGGCTTAGTTTCATTGAGTTAGACAAGACTGTGGTCCACATGATCAGATTGGCTAGTTTTCTGTGATTATGGTTTTAGTGTGTCTGCCCTCTGATGCCCTCTCGCAACACCTACCTCTTACTTGGGTTTCTCTTACCTTGGACGTGGGCATAGCAAACACCCTCTTCCAACAACACAAGAGAAGATTCTACACATGAACATCACCAGATGGTCAATACCAAAATCAGACTGATTATTTTCTTTGCAGCCAAAAATGGAGAAGCTCTATACAGTCAGCAAAAACAAGACCAGGAGCTGACTATGGCTCAGATAATGAACTCCTTATTGCCAAATTCAGACTTAAATTGAACAAAGTAGGGAAAACCACTAGACCATTCAGGTATGACCTAAATCAAATCCCTTATGACTACACAGTGGAAATGAGAAACAGATTTAAGGGACTAGATCTGATAGACAGAATACCTGATGAACTACGGACGGAGGTTCATGACATTGTACAGGAGACAGGGATAAAGACCATCCCCATGGAAAAGAAATGCAAAAAGGCAAACTGGTTGTCTGAGGAGGCCTTACAAATAGCTGTGAAAAGAAGAGAAGCGAAAAGCAAAGGAGAAAAGGAAAGATATTCCCATTTGAATGCAGAGTTCCAAAGAGTAGCCAGGAGGTAAGAAAGCTTTCCTCAGTGATCAATGCAAAGAAATAGAGGAAAACAACAGAATGGGAAAGACCAGAGATCTCTTCAAGATAATCACAGATAGCAAGGGAACATTTCATGCAAAGATGAGTTCGGTAAAGGACAGAAATGGTATGGACTTAACATAAGCAGAAGATATTAAGAAGAGGTGGCAAGAATACACGGAAGAACTGTACAAAAAACATCTTCATGACCCAGATAATCACAATGGTGTGATCATTCACCTAGAGCCAGACATCCTGGAATGTGAAGTCAAGTGGGCTTTAAAAAGCATCACTACGAACAAAGCTAGTGGAGGTGATGGAATTCCAGTTGAGCTATTTCAAATCCTGAAAGATGATGCCGTGAAACTGCTGAACTCAATATGCCAGCGAATTTGGAAAACTCAGCAGTGGCCACAGGACTGGAAAAGGTCAGTTTTCATTCCAATCCCAAAGAAAGGCAATCCCAAAAGAATGCTCACACTACCGCACAATTGCACTTATCTCACATGCTAGTAAAGTAATGCTCAAAATTCTCCAAGCCAGGCTTCAGCAATACGTGAACCGTGAACTTCCAGATGTTCAAGCTGGTTTTAGAAAAGGCAGAGGAACCAGAGATCAAATTGCCAACATCCGCTGGATCATCGAAAAAGCAAGAGAGTTCCAGAAAAACATCTATTTCTGCTTTATTGACTATGCCAAAGCCTGTGACTGTGTAGATCACCATAAACTGTGGAAAATTCTGAAAGAGCTGGGAATACCAGACCACCTGACCTGCCTCTTGAGAAACCTACATGCAGGTCAGGAAGCAACAGTCAGAACTGGACATGGACCAACAGACTGGTTCCAAATAGGAAAAGGAGTATGTCAAGGCTGTATACTGTCACCCTGCTTATTTAACTTATATGCAGAGTACATCATGAGAAACGTTGGGCTGGAAGAAGCA